AATAAACGTCTAAGGTGGTTCAAGGATTTTCCCTTATACTGTGTACGTAATCGATAATGAAAAGAAAAGGTAGGAAGAGGAAGAGAGTTTGTGTACKTTTGACTATCTTTCCTACATTTTTTCTTTCAAACTAAACACAGCCTTAATTACATCCTTTTGAATAAAAAAACTAATAATATCAAAAGAAACAAAAGAAGAAACTTTAATTACTAACTTAAATCGCCAATCTTTGCATTAACTTGGTTAGTTATACATGCAGTAATAAGGCCTTAATTCAACTGGACTAAGCCTTGCACGGACAACTAACRATATGGGGTCGTTTAAGAGATATAACTAATTAAACTAGTACGACTTGATTAAATACTAATTCTAATATATTAGAACAAACTCCTTTCTTTTACGTGGACCATCAATCCATCATTTACTTGAAGAACAACTGTTGATTTCAAGGAGACTGGATGATCATCTTCCACTTGAATATGGAAATTGGAGAGGATAGCAGCAGCGGCCAACTTCATGTTGGTGAAAGCCATGTCCCTCCCTATGCAGATTCTTGGGCCACCTCCGAATGCAAATAACAATTTGGAAATCATGTCATTATCCAGAGTCCCATCCGCTTTAATCCACCTCTCCGGCTTGAATTCCAAACAATCCTCCCCCCATATTGATGGAATCCTTGCTAGAGAGTAAACTCCAAGCAGAACCTGCATCCCTGGTTTGACAACACTGCCATCAGGGAGGACATCCTTCTTAACGACACCCTTTCTGTTCAAAGGGACGGGAGGAAACAACCTTAGTGTTTCACAAAATGCTGCATGCAGATACAACAGATTCTTCAAATCATCTGGTTCGAACATGAATTTCTTCTTGCCTACCGCATTARCCTCACCTTTTCTCTCCCTCTGAGAGAATACAAACCTCAACTCTTCCAGGAGTTTTGCCTCCACACGAGGGTTTCTGTTAAGCGACCAGAAGAACCAGAGAAGACCTGAAGCTGTAGTGTCCCGCCCAGCTAGGAAGAAGTTGAGAACCGTGTCTCTAAGGAACTTCACCCTAGCCTCAGACCAGTCGGGCTTCTCTCCTTGTGATCTAATGTAGGTGGAGAGTAAGCTATTTGTTTCTGATTCTACTCCTTTAAGCACTTCTTCTTTCTTACGCCAAATGATATCATAAATCGTATTATCAGCGACTTCACGTGCTTTGGCYAACTTCTTCTCCGTTCCGACCTTCAACAAACGGAGCAACTTCCAATAAAACGTTGGCGTCAAAACCCTGTAAATCACGGCCTCCTGTGCATCATCAACAGCTGTAGCCACTACGTTAGTCGGAAGCCCTTCTGCAAGACATCCCAAATCTTTTCCCGAGATTGTAATATTAATGGTATCAAAGGTGTACCTCAGAAACAAATCCTGCAAATCTACTGGACAACCTTCCTTGGCCACGTTAGCCAACACAGGCAGAAGTTTGTTCTGAATGGCCTTCTGCACAGTGCTGTTGACGAAGCTTCTGAAATCAACCGACCTGAAAGCCCAGTGTGCACTCTTCCTCTGCGTTTGCCAKGACTCAGAATCGGCGTTGAAGATTCCCTCGCCCAGAATTTCGAATATCTGCATGAAATTCTTGCCCTTTGGATAGTTGGCAACGTTGGTCTTGAAGATGTGCTCTAAGTTTTGGGGATCACAAGTCACCAGGTAGTCGAGCTTAGACAAGACGGGGCCCTTCAGGTAGAAGGAATTGGTGCCGAGCTTGATGAAAACCTCCGTCATCCATTCATGTATCTTGTAGCTGTTCCAGGCCAACACCGGGAACGAGCCCAGCAAAGGCCAGTTGGCGTAGACTTTGTTGTACTGTTTGCGTTGGAAAAACCATTGCAGAATGAAGAAAAGAAGAACAGCTACCAAGATGTGGTATGCAGAGACTGTTGGGAGGAATGGGATGGTGAACGCCCACGCCAAGGCCATCTTTTTCCCTTCCTTCTGATCTTCTCTGGTTAGCTTAGCTACAACTGTGCAGAATTAACGAATGCAACGCGTTACATTTATAGTTGAAAAGAATGCAGGAAAAAATGCGTTTAATGGTAGCGTGGGCGTTTTTTGGGACCGATTTTCAAGAAAAAACGTTCATGCCTATAAGATCCATTTTTCAACAAAAAAAACACTTTAATTTTGTCAGAGTATTTTTGCCATGTAGGCAGTAAGTAATACTATGCTGTTTGGTAAGGTGATTTTCATCACTGTTTTTCATGTATGTGGTAAGCACCACACATGATACACATAATCGCCAATTAATCAATGGTTGGGGGCAACGGTTCATCAATGCATGAAACAATAAATTAAAGGTTTCATGC